TATATTAATTTTTACTACCTATCTGTACATACTTTGTATAAATATATATATATATATTTTTTATATATCTCATTTCTTCCTCTCCCCCTTTTACTCCATCATACGTTGCATTATTTCTTCCTTTCTCTTACTCCTCCTAATCACTTTAGAAGAAGGGAAGTAAAGAAATAGAAATAAAGAAATAGGGAATCGTTGGATATAGAAGCAAGCAAAGGAGGAGAGAAGAGGAGACAGAAACGAAGGCAGAGAAAAAAGAGGAGACAGAGAAAGAAGAGGTATGAAAGAAAAAAAAAATTCAGAACGTGGCCCATGACTGCAAATCACGATAAGATGCATCTAAAAAAAAGGGGGGGAAGGGGGGAGGGACCACTCACATCCAACATATGCAAGAATGGAAAATAGATTGAAGTATATTTTTGGTGCACTTACTTTACAGTTTTGTGCCTGAATAAACGATTCTATATTTCACCAACTCAGCTTATGGAAATGAAGTGCCTGTCCTGTTAGTTGAACCATATACAAAGCAAATGAAGTATGGTTTTAAATTCATTTCATTTGGAGTTAAACAGCACTATGAAAATTACGACATTACAAAATCATTATTATTTCGATATCATTATAAGACTTTAATAATATTCTTACACAACTTGTCTATTGTCCCAACTCACACTATCTGGAATAATTATATTACTTGGCTTGATATAAACTTAAACTCACTAACATGACCCGACTCATATTAACTGACTTTACAGACGCCTAACTCGTACTAACTGACTTAACTTGTGCCCAAACTCACTCAAAATGACTTCACTGATAGCAAAATCCCAAGATACAAGTTATTTTCGAATATTGAATAACTTAATTGAAGCCTAATTATGAGTTTTACTAAATAACTTTACTGATGCCTAATTATGAGTTTCTCTATTTCATAAAGACCATTAAACTGGGAGATTCGTTCCATATATTGGCTTATTGACTCTCCCTAGGTCTGGCAGGTGAAAGCAAAGTTAATATGTAGCGTGACTTGGCAGGAACAAGAGTAAAGTAAGGAGCACAACGAGAAAGGATGTGAATCGAAGGATAGTCGAATTCGAGATGAGGATGATTGGAAAATAATTTTCCAAAATACATAAATGTACATATATCTATATGTGTATGTGTATGTGTATGTGTGTGTGTGTGTGTGTGTGTGTGGTGTGTGTGTGTGTGTGTGTGTGTGTGTGTTGTGTGAGTGTGAGTGTGAGTGTGAGTGTGAGTGTGAGTGTGAGTGTGAGTGTGTGTGTGTGTGTGTGTGTGTGTGTGTGTGTGTAAAGATATGGATAGATATATGTACATATTTTTTTTTCACACACACATATATATATATTCGTGTGCGTGCGTGCGTGTGTGTGTGTGTGTGTGTGTGTGTGTGTGTGTGGTGTGTGTGTGTGTGTGTGTGTGTGTGTGTGTGTGTGTGTGTGTGTGTGTGTGTGTGTATATATGTATGTATGTATGTATGTTATGTATATATATGTATATATATATAATATATATATATATATGTATATATGTATATATAATATGTATGTATGTATGTATGTATGAATGTATGTATATATAATCAACAAACAGATACATATACCTAATTAACAAAGAGATAGACAAAGTGATAATAAAATAACATAACGAAGCAAAAATAGAGTGACAATTAGAGAGATAAGATGTCACAGTAATATGGTAATGAGACAGATAATGAGATAAGAAGAAGAAGAAAAATATATGGGCTGTTTACCTGTATGTTTCGCACAATTTACATAAAAACAAAAAACAAAAAATAAAATCATATGAAGCTGTTGGTGATAATGATATTTATATTGATAACGATGATGATGATAAACATAAGAATAATAATAGTTATAGTAATATTAGTAGTAATAGTAATGATAATAATGAGTGATAATAATAAAGATAATAATGATGATACTGTTAATAATAATGCTAATGGACACAATAATGATAATGATACTACTACTACTACTAATAATAATGATAATAATATCAATAACAATAATGATGATAATGATAATAATAATCATAACAATAATGATAATTATAATTGCAACATAACAATAATAAAACACCATCCATATAATAAATGTGATAATAAATATACAAAAATAACAAGAAACCAAACAGGAGCAGCAGTAGTAGTAGTAAAAATATAACAACAAATGATAATACTGAAAAAGATAACCATAATAATATGATGATAACATACAACAACAAGAAAAAGACAAATATAAGATAAATACAAATACAAATATAAATATAAAGACAAATACAAGACAGACAGACACAAAAGAAAAGCGCAACTCTCAGAATGTTAACACAACGCTGACCTTTGACCCTTGACTCCCTTTCGCACAGGCAAGGGGGTCAATAATCCAATAATTCAACCAATAAAACGCCGAAGCTAATCTGGCTTTCGTAAACACCAGAGGACAAGAAATCCCCTCATACCTGCCCGCCCGCCGCCTCTCCTCGCTTCGCTCTTCCATAACGCTCTCATTAAGAAGTAAAAACAAAAATGGGGAAGATGATACTACGAGAATAAAAAAGAGAGAGAGAGAAAAAAAGTGAGAGAGAGGGGGGGGGGGGAGAGGGTGGAGGGAGAGGGAGGGGGGGGGAGAGGGACGGAGAGGGAGAAGGAGAGGGGGAGGGAGAGAGAGAGAAAGGGGGAAGAGGAAGAGAGGAGAGGGGAGGAGAGAGGGAGAGGAGAGAGAGAAGAGAAAGAGAGAAACAGAGAGAGAGAGAGAGAACAGAGAGAGACATAGAAACAGAGATACAGAGAGAGAACAGAGAGACAGAGAGAGAAACAGAGAGAGACATAGAAAAAACAGAGAAAGAGAGAGAAGAGAGTGAGTAACGGAAGTCGGTGCGTATTCAAGAAGCGACTGAGGTTCGAAAATAATTTTGGGGTTGTGACGTCAGCGAACGATGACGTCACACATCACGGACGCCTACTTATCCAAAGATATCAACTGGTGTTTCCTCGTGAGAATGATCAGAATTTCTCTCCGTTCTCAGATTTTAATAGAAATGAATTGAATTCTTGGATGATACTACAACATTCCGTGAAATTAAGAAAGGAAAATTTTTGATATGCGAGAACAGGAGGTCCTCAGAGAGGAAGACTTCTTAATCAGAAATCAAAGGTCAAATCATTTCTTGGACGAACCTAACCAGCTCCTCAAAGCTCCTAAACCGAAGCACGGATGTACACGTCAGTACGGGGATTCAGGAGGACCTATGACCTATCCTCACCTCTCTTCGTCAGGATGCAGTACGGGGATTCAGGAGGACCTCTGACCTATCCTACAGACTCACCCTCTCTTCGTCAGGATGTAGATGGGATTCAGGAGGACCTATGACCTATCCTACAGACTCACCCTCTCTTCGTCAGATGTAGATGGGGATTCAGGAGGACCTATGACCTATCCTACAGACTCACCCTCTCTTCGTCAGGATGTAGATGGGGGCGCTCTGGGTCCGCAGGTAGGCGAGCTGGGCCCTCTTCCGTGCCACCATCCTCCTCGACATCGCCTCCTCCGCTGTCTCGACGTCCTTGGGACTCGCACGCGCGGGGCCAGCAAAGCGACGGTTGTTCTCCGTGCCACGCATGTAGTACGTAGCCCAACATATAACGACACACACTAGATTCCTTCCCTTCCTTCGTAACGACAACCTTGAGTGTTGCTGGCGAGGGACGCAGCCACGCCACACGCCAGGGGTCGAAAGCTCGAGACCGGGGACGCTACACGCACTTCACTCACATATCCGAAATTTATCTTAATTAAAAATGTATCTTATCTCCTAGAGCGGGGTGGGGTAGGGGGCGGGTGGGGTTAGGGTGGTTCTTGCGACGATCTGATAAGGAGAGCTGGAGGTCTTAAGGTCGAGGACGCGAAGACGTAGGACTATAAATCACATTAAGGGGACATCTGCTCTGGACTCCACTCCTGCCGTGAGCTGTGGTCGCGAAGTCCTCTGCTCAGACGCCCTCACACGACCCCTGAGCAAACGCTAGCTCACACATCCTCGCGTCTAATTGAGTTGCGACTCCCCAAGCCTCGTTTCAGAGCGGCTGGCAGAGGGCACAAGGACACAAACAAACAAACACAACAACGGGAAAACACACTAATTGCCGATACGAGGCGGCGAGGAAGCGAGCACTGCGTCTCGTCGTGAAGGAGAGCTTGAGAAAACTTGAGACTTCATTCACAACGATATAATTCACACACTGGGCTTGAGAGGTCGGGAGTCCAAGGGGAATGTGACGTGCTGGCGTGCACGGTACGTTGTGAGTGAAAAGCATGAAAGGGTTCGAAGGAGGAGGAGGAGGAGGCGGAGGAGGCAGAGGAGGAGGAAGCGGAGGAGGAGGCTAGGAGGAGGAGGAGGAGGGGGGAGGAGGGAGGGGGTGGAGGAGGAGGGGGTGGATGAGGAGGGGAAAGGGGGAGGAGGAGAGGAGAGGGGGAGGAAAAGCCAAAGAAGGAAGGGCGGGGAAGCCGGATTCTTAGGAGGAGGAGGAGGAGGGGAGGCTAGCTAGAGAAGGAGGGGGAGGGGAGGACTTAGGGGGAGCCAGAGAGGAGGAGGAGGAGGAGGAGGAGGAAGCTGAGGAGGGTGAGAAGGAGGTAATGGAAGGAAGGGAGAAGGGCTGTTATGGCGTTAGTGATGGGCTAATGTAGGTGGAGTTTAGGAGAGAGTTAAAGAGGGAGGAGCAACCTGGCGCCGACGAGAGGCTCTGCGAAGGGGGAAGGGGGAGGGGACAGGATGGGGGGAGAGGAAAGAGGGGAGGGGCGATGAGGAAGACTCCGTGACGTCAGAGTGAAGTGGTGAGGTAATACCCTCGAGACGTGTAAGTGGAGCTGCAAGTCACCTCACATATACACACGCCCCTTGTTCCTGGTGGCTGCAAGATGGCCGTGACGTCGGGGTGAATTCAACCTCTTTTTTTTTTTCTT